TTCGCATCGTTCTTGCCGCGGCCGACGATGCCGGGAAGCCCAACCGCCGCTCCGACAGGAAGCAGGGGCCCTGCCCCTGCTCCTGCTGGAAGGGCATTTATTCCTCTTCCCTCGATCGCGTCCACCCCCCCACGCCCCCCATGCGGGGTAGGACGGGCCTGATGGTGCGGCTGCAGCTGCTGCTGTTGAAGTGGTAGTTGTTGTTGTGGTGGTGGTGGTGATATGGGCCCTATCATCGCTCCCCTGTCCAACAACAACTCCAACATGGTGGCAGCCTTGCCTGGGACCTACGCACCGCCGTAGTACAGAGCAAAGATGTACAAGACGTTTCTGAAAGTAAATTATTATCAGGAATTATATATTATATATCCTACATATTATATATAATATACATATGTATGTTATGTATGTTATACATATACTACAATTAATACAGAAATCATATGTATTGAATACTGACGTTTTTTTACATATTATAAAATTCAAAAAACGGCGAAATAAAACAGCGGAGCGAAAAGGTAAACAGACAAAAAGTAAACGTAAGGAAATCGCAAAATAACTCCCGCAGCCTCACAACACGCGCCTGAAGAGGTTGTCACAGCCCACCTGGTCGGCCGCTGCGAAGCTCATACTGAAAGCGCTACAGCCGTCGCCGCCGCCGCCGCCGCCGCCACCGCCTGCAGGCCCAGACGACGCTTCCCCGACGCCGTCCAACTCCATGCCCACCAAGGGCACAGGAGCCGCAGCTGGCGGCACCCCCGCTTTGGGCGACGGCGATGAGCCATGCCACGTGAGGCGGCGCCGCCGTTGTCGTAATCGCCGTACGACAAGTGCGACAGCGGCAAACGCAATGACGATGCCTAACGCGCCGCCTGCGGCGATACCGCTTGTAAGAGCGTGGTTCTGTACGGCACCTGTTGACGGGCTAGGTGACGGGCCCGTTGACGCCGCCACTGCATTGCCCGGCGCGTCCATTGGGAGTGTAATGACTGCAACGGGACGTTGGGACGGTTGGGACCGTTGGAACGGTTAGAGATACTCGTTGGAAAGTAGCACACGTCGTTGATTCCGTACTTTTTTTGTAAAGGACGTAGAACCTTCTGGATTACGCCTCCAACATAGGCAGCATTTGTTTACACGAACCCTTCCTCAAGCTAATCTTGCCCGACGGGAAGATTTCGAAATTATTGACATTTACGAAACCACACACTCAAAACCGCACATGTGACACACACCCAGTACGGCGACCCTAGCAACTTTGTTACTTAGGTTGGAATAAATTGAGACCCGCCCTAAATGAAAAAAATTCACTGGGGGAGAGCGAGTAAGAAAAAGAGCGAGTAAGCAAGAGAATGTACGAGAGAGCAAGAGATAGTATGCAAGAGAGGGGGAGAGAGAAGGAATGCAGTGAGAGAGGGGGAGAGAGAAGGAATGCGCGAGTGCATGGGGAGGAGAAACCCCGTTTGATTCGCAGGGCAGTCCGTACGGCATAGGAGTGCAAGCACAAGAACGCCGCCACGTTTGGAGTACACACTTTTTATTGAAATTCTCAAACAATAAAGGCCGGCAGACTTGCTATGGCAGTGTAGACCTTTCTGGATTGAATGAATGAAGAAGAGAATAAGAAGGACAACAATTAAACAGGCACGAGCGAGACGCCAAGAGGGAGGTGCTTAGTGCGTTGCCATGGGTCACTCTAAAGTTGCCGAGCATGAAGGAACCCAGCGTTGCTACCGTAAACGTTTGACCCTCCCAGGCGTATCCGTAATTATTGAAAATTTACGCCGGGTGTATATCCGTAATGTTGCGTATTTCAAACAGAGCTTTTTCGTTGCTCAAAGGACTATTTTTAACTGTTGATAGGGAAAGCGTAATAGCTGCACCCAGGGAACGCAAGTCCCGCGTCCATCCCCTTGTAATGGACCAGGACTATCCCTCAAACGTCAAACCAGCGCAGATACAGGTACTCGTAGCATTCATCAGCTCCTAGAATGTTCACAGCCCAGGCATTATCAGGTTAACGACAGTTCGACATCGCGGCAAGCCAGAATGTCATACATGGTACCATCGGTACGCGGTACATAACCTCTCCTCTAAAGTCCCATTCAACCAGGAGTAATCGCACGTAACTCGAAGAAACATCGTCTTAGGGACGTGAATCTCCTTGCCTGCCCACAATCGCTCCATAACGTCTCCGACCTGCCCTTCTGCCCCTGATCCGTGTGGGTTCACTGGATATTGCCGCTTCCGAAACCTTCTGGTGTTAATCACGACAGATATTTACGCCGCACTGGCTAAAAGGGTACCTGAGATGTGTATTTCGCGTAATATTACGCCGGCGTAAATTGGGCGTAACATGACGGATTACGGTAGCAACGCTGAAGCAACCAACCCATAAAGGATCATGCCCTTTGCTTATAAATCTATGATGTAAGGGACATGCAACGACGTCAGACGCAAGGGCTGCGAGGTGAGGGGAAGTCAAACTCGAAGCAATGGAAAGCTACCTTCGCGATCCGATGAATATGAATGTTCTCCTTTGGCCAATCGATAAAGAATTGATGTAGCTTTTACATGCAATCTTTAGCGGAGTGAGATATGCAAATTTACCTCACCCTGGAAATGCAAATTTACCCTATTTCCGCGATCCGTTTTATCTGAATTATTTCCCTTGGTCTAGCGATAAAGAATTAGAATAGCTTTCAGACCAATTTAAAGCGGGGGAAGATATGAAAGTTCATAGGTTAGGAAGCTCAGGGTTTTAACTTCGCCGAAAGATTTATCTGAAAAGTCCATCGATAGGAAACTAAAAAAACCTTCAGACGCAGATGGTAAGGTGAGATCAAATGTTACACCATGACGGACGGATGGACGGACGGACGGACACACTAGCGGGCGGACGGACTAGCGGACGGACGGACGGACGGACGGACGGACGGACGGACGGACGGACGGACGGACGGACCGACAGACAGACAGACAGACAGACAGACAGACAGACAGACAGACAGACAGACAGACAGACAGACAGACAGACAGACAGACAGACAGACAGACAGACAGACAGACAGACAGACAGACAGACAGACAGACAGACAGACAGACAGACAGACAGACAGACAGACAGACAGACAGACAGACAGACAGACAGACAGACAGACAGACAGACAGACAGACAGACAGACAGACAGACAGACAGACAGACAGACAGACAGACAGACAGACAGACAGACAGACAGACAGACAGACAGACAGACAGACAGACAGACAGACAGACAGACAGACAGACAGACAGACAGACAGACAGACAGACAGACAGACAGACAGACAGACAGACAGACAGACAGACAGACAGACAGACAGACAGACAGACAGACAGACAGACGGGCGGACTGACTGACGGACGGACTAGCGGATCGACGGACTAGCGGACGGACGGACTAGCAGACGGACGGACTAGCACTCTTCAGTAATGTTACAGAGTGAGAGGCTTCTGGGCCGCTTTATCAGATTGTCAATTCTACGATTTATCACCTTATAGTACCGTCCACCACTACCACACTGTACTACGCCATACGAACTGTCCAAGGCAACGTTTGTATTTCACCTCGCCCAGAGCCTTCGTGAGCACATCCGCAACCATCCACTCCGTAGAGCAGTATTCCAACTGCACCTCACCCTCTCACGCACTATGTGATGTTGTACGTCGATGTGCATCGACCGAGCAGACGTAACCGGGTTGTTTCCTAAGCTAAGCGCCCCCTGGGAATCTATTTGAATCTTGATAGCGCCCTCAGGCAAACCCAAATCGACCATCAGCTTGCGAAGCCACAAAGCCTCGCGAACAGCTGCTGCTGTAGCTTGATACTTGGCCGCCACCGATGAAGCCGCCACAGTACGTTGAAGTTGGCTGCTCCAGCTAATTGCAGCCCCATTTAGAGTGAACACGTAACCAGAAGTAGAACGCTGCGTAACTGGGTCTCCTGCCCAGTCAGAATCGCTATACCGGACATCTCAATGTCGCCAACACCCCCAAAACGCAATCCTAGTTCGCGAGTACCCGCCAGGTAACGCAGAACGCCAATTGCTAAGTTCATAGCACTCTTCGTGGGTGCGGCCATATGCCGGGACAAAATGCTCAATGCATACGAAATGTCAGGCCGCGTGTTCATCGCTAGGTAATTCAACTCCCCTATACTCCGTGGGATTGTCCAGCAGCTCTTCTCCGTCCCCCGTAGGAGTGTACCTAAAGCCCGGAGGCAAAGGAGTAGACCTCGGCTTGGCGTCAACCAATTTATGACGCTCTAATAATAATATACCTCTTAATATACCTACACTGCGACAACACTATCTCACCCGACTTCTCCCTCCTCATTTCCATGCCCAAAAACACTTTCGCTTCTCCAAGGTCACGCACCTTGAAGACCTTCACAATTGCGGCTTTAATTGCCCGGACCATTTCCAGATCTTCCGACGCAACAATGGTATCATCTACGTGCACCAAAGCAAGAACAACCCCACGCTCATCCGTCTTAACGAACATCGCTGGATAAGACTTCAAAGGATAAAGACCCAGCTTAGCAAACTCTGCTGATAGTTTCTCATATCAGCAACGGGGTGCCTGCTTCAAACCGTAAATCGACTTTTGCAGCTTGCACGCAAGCGACCTGTCACTGGATGCATACCCAGGCGGTTGCTCCATCCACAACTCCTCCTTCAGCTCACCGTTAAAAAACGCAGTAGACACATCGAGCTGGTGCACCGTCATGTTCCGCGCTGTGGCAACTGCTAATAAAGCACGTAAAGATAGGGGGCTTCCACAAACGAATTAGGTTCAGGAATATCAGCAGAGAAAGCAGCGTTAATGTGACCAGTGACAGTGCGACCAGGTTCGTTTCGCCACCACTCGCCAGGGCGTTTACGTTCTCTAACTGGATACCGGGTCCCTGCCAATTCCACATCGGGCTGATTGTTACCTTGCACGTTCACACTGCTGGATGGTCCAGCCCCAGCCGGCGCCCCCTCGCCACCCAAATGCGCCTCGCCACCCCATCAACTATCGAGATGGCAAGTGGTGGGTCTGGTAAGCCTTCTGAGCTGGCAGCTTATGCTTCTGTCGACAGTTTTTCGTTTGGCGCCTCTGGTTCTGTTCTTGGGAATTGTGGCGCGGCCAGCAGCAGTCCTGGCATTCCTCAAAAAGAGGTGATTTTCTTCGATTGCAGCAAGCTTGGGCCCGGTAGGTCTGGCAAGGGATCGGGATTCCCGAGACAGGTTGCGTTTGTTGTTAAGAATATGAAGGCAAGGAGACTGGTCGCGATATAAGGGTTACAGTCTGTGGGTTAGTGGTGAACGGCAAGAAGACTTTAGGAGATTCCTGTTAAGGAATACCGGTCCATCCTGAGATGAGATAGAAAGACATGCACCACTTTGGTCTTATGTACCGATACCAACGGAAGTATCGTACAGTCGTCCACCATCCCTGGACCTGAGGACACGTCCGAGATACGCGGCCGAGAGTCCCGAGGCAAGGTCGAGGCACAGCCGAGGCAAGGTCGAGGCACGTCCGAGGCAAGGTCGAGGCACGTCCAAGGCATCGCCTATCACGGCGTATTCATTGCCTATCTACCACCTATCTACGTTGAGATAGGACCGCCCTTCAACATTTGTAGCATACAACAGTAAGCATCTGAGAAATCCTGGTCGAATATGGGACTGAGTTGTTGAGGAAACGGTCCTCTCCCAACTCGTGTGGTTGTCGACCAGGGGATTTGACCCCGGGTCTGCGCCTGACTAATGGGGAAGACTTACCCCAGAACCTTATGGGGCTACCGATGCGTATCCGGTAGCTAAGTGATAGACATTAGGGCACCGTCTGGACGGCGCAGTGAGATCGCGGAATGTACGTGCAGTTAGATCGCGGAATGTACGAGTTTTCCGCTAGCGCCGGTATTTAGGGCGGTGACTGCGCCTATTAG